AATTTTCAGGCCTTTTATGCTTCAACATAGAGAGCCATCATTGCGCGGGAAGGGACACGGAAATTGCACAAAATTAGCAAGCAGCAGGACAACAACCAAAGCCTTCTTCTTACGATAACTTCCCAATTGAAGGAAGTATGGATATGAAACTTACATCAATAATTGGGGGAACATTTGCCGTTTAATTAGCCACAAGGACTGCCAGATTTTGAAAATTTTCAGGGCTTTTATGTTGCAACATAGAGAGCCATCATTGCTCAGGAAGCAATCTGTAATGGAAAGAGGCAATTGAATAGCACAAAATTAGCAAGTAGTTTGACAAGAACGTATGCCTTCTTCTGCATATAATTTCCTAAGTAAAGAAATATGGATATGGAACTTACATTAATATATAGAGGAGCACTCGCCCTTTCAGATGCCACCAAGATTGCCTGATTTGGACAATTTTCAGGCCTTTTATGCTTCAACATAGAGAGCCACCATTGCGCAGGAATTGAAATGGGAATTGCACAAAATTAGCATGCAGCAGGACAACAACCAAAGCCTTCTTATTACGATGATTTCCCAACTAAAACATAAATGGATATGAAACTTATGTCAATATATATAGAAGACTAATCACCCTTTCAGATGACACAAAGATTGCCTGATTTGGATAATTTTTAGGCCTTTTATGCTGCAACAGAGAAAGCAATCATTCCTCAGGAAGGAATCTGTAATGGAAAGAGGCAACTGAATAGCACTAAAATAGCAAGTATTTCAACAAGAACGTAAGCCTTCTTCTGCATATAATTTCCTAAGTAAAAGAAATATGGATATGAAACTTACATCAATATAAAGAGGACAAATCTGCCTTTCAGATGCCACCAAGATTGCCTGATTTGGACAATTTTCAGGCCTTGTATACTTCAACATAGAGAGCCATCATTGCGCGGGAAGGGACACGGGAATTGCACAGACTTAGCAAGCAGCAGGACAACAACCAAAGCCTTCTTCTTAGGATAACTTCCCAATTGAAGGAAGTATGGATATGAAACTTACATAAATCAATAGGAGAACATTCGCCCTTAAATTAGCCACAAGGACTGCCAGATTTTGACAATTTTCAGGTCTTTTATGCTGCAACTTAGAGAGCCATCATTGCTCAGGAAGGAATCCGTAATGGAAAGAGGCAATAGAATAGCACAAAATTAGCAAGTAGTTTGACAAGAACGTATGCCTTCTTCTGCATATAATTTCCTAAGTAAAACAAATATGGATGTGAAACTTATATCAATA